ACGTCCTCGTAGGAGATAATTGGGACTTGGGCCTTGAATGCGGCCAGGGTTTGAGGGCTCCCGTACCTCTGGAGGTAATGGCAGCTTGAGTTGTCGTCGAGGATGCGGCCAAGGACTCGCTCTTGATTCGAGCTTGCATCCTGGCAGGATTGCTCGAAGTCGGCAATGACAGCGGCCATTAGAAACAAACTCGGGCATACATTCTAGTTGCAAACTCGTGGTGAGGAAGATGGATGAACTGTGCTTGTTTATAATAATAAGAGAACCGCATTGTGTAGTAAGTCGCTTTGGCTGAGTGGTTAAGGCGTGTGCCTGCTAAGTACATGGGCTCTGCCCGCGAGAGTTCGAATCTCTCAGGCGACGATCTTACCGAGTTTTAGGCGGGAAAATCTAATCTACGTTTTAAGCATTTCTAGGGTTCTTGAGGAAACTGGGACGGTAAGATGTAGCTCCCGCAAATCGGCGGCTCAGACAGATTTTCTAGCGGAATTTTCCCCGGCATGATAACAGCGCCTTGAGCTCGCTGATCAAAATCGCGATTCCTAGGCCAGCTCCAGGAGGAGGACTCCTGGTTCTTCCGCATTTCCAGGTGGAGTAGAGGGAAGCGACGCCACGGAGAGAGTGTAGCGACGTCATAAGACAAGCGCATGGCAGGACTCGACTCTAGCGGGAGCTTTGAGAATGCTCTCTGGCGACTCGGTGTTTTACCACTCTCCAAAGAAGAAGAAAGACGATCCGCAACGACAGGTAGTCGATTGCATTCAGGAGTGGAGACTGCGATTCGAAGAGCACGATTAACGCGACGGAGTTTGTGTTCATGCAAAAGTGACTTCATGAAGCGGAACGCCAAGCTTTTGCAGAAGGCGTTGCAAACACGCTCGCTAGTCGGCTTCGAGATCAGAGCGGGTGGTACCGTAAGATGGCTCAAGTGCATCCTTCAGCTTGGCAAGATGGAAAGTGGACACAAGTTGGAGTTTGATTTCTTTACCACGAGTAACGGCGACACGGCCTTCTTTATATCAGGGAGATATGCCGATCGGATCAACCGACGCTGGTGAAGCTTTCAGGACCCGGACATCACAAGCTTTTAAGTTCCAGCCTGCGAAAGGAGCCAAGGACGCATTTGACGTATTATTGGAGCCCAGACCCGCCAGTGCCGTCTCCCAACCAGCTAACGAAGAAGCCGTAGATGCTGCTCGAGAGCGATATATGGCGTTGCCAAAAAGCCAAAGCTGCTGTGGTGGCCACTCCTGCACGGTTTCCGGTATGGCAGTGTCGGTTGTGCGTGTATGGTATTTTGTGATATCTCTGCAAATCTTCTGTGCGCAGGTGGTTCTTCTCACTGTGAAAGATGTCATCATCGAAGCGGATATGCTGCTGCAGTCAATGAAATCGTTTTCTATCGCTGCTGGGGTCCCTCCATTCTGATCTTGGCTCTTCCGTGTTATTCCAAGGTGTGGATAGTTTGCTCCAGTGTGAGGTCTTGGGGGTGTTGAAGCTCGCTCAATTTTGCAGCGATGGCGGAGGCTGAGGATTCCCCCGGTAAAGGCTACATGTGGAATCTGGACCGGATTGATCAACCGTTCGGGGAGGAAGCCGATCGTGTACACAATTTGCACACGGCAAAGGTAACTTGCAATTGTGTGCTTTTTGAGGTTCTCAAACCCTGTCATCGCTGTCAGAAACTCTCGACAACCACAACTCTGCGCTTAGCGTTCTTGAGCCTTGGAGTTGTCTATGGAGACTTGGGAACTTCTCCACTGTATGTCTTCTCCAACATCTTTCCCGACGGTATCAAGGACCGGAATGACCTTTTGGGAACACTGTCGCTGATCATCTACACCATCACTCTGATTGCTCTCGTGAAGTACGTCTTTTTTGCATTAAGAGCGAATGACAACGGAGAGGGTATGTTGAGTTCATTAAGATTGGAGAAACCCCTGATTCTTCTTCGGTTTTCTTTTTTCTAGGTGGAACTTTTGCTCTGTATTCCTTAATCTGTAGACATGCCAAAGTCAACACAATTCCCAATCAGCACCATACGGACAGAGCATTGACAACTTATAGTTTTCGGCCCATGTCCGAGAAGTCAACTGCTTACAAGCTGAAAAATGCACTTGAGACTAGCCTTTTCTTACAGAAGATACTGCTGGTGCTTGTCCTTCTTGGTACCAGCATGGTTATCGGAGACGGCATGCTGTCTCCGTCAATATCAGGTGTGCTGGCCTTGAAGCGCGTATCTGTTTAAGGATAACACTTGTTGTCTATCAAAATGCAGTACTATCAGCAGTTCAAGGAATCCGACTCTCCCATTTGGAGCTTCCAAAAGGTTGGTTTTTCTATTTTTCTCTTCCGATATTGTGAACTTCTAACGGTAATGCGTTCTGCTAACAGGGAGCGTTCTTATTCTCTCCTTATTGATTCTGGTTGCTCTATTCAGCATGCAACGATTTGGAACTGCCAAAGTCGGCTTTATGTTCGCGCCAATTATCTTCATCTGGTTTATTTCAATTGGCACTATAGGAATCTACAACATCTTTGTTCATTATCCTCCTGTCTTCAAGGCTCTTTCGCCTGTTTACATTTTTCGTTACTTCCGTGCTCAAGGAGTGACCGCATGGATTTCCCTTGGAGGTGTCGTTCTTTCCGTTACAGGTGAAGCTTTGTTTGTTTTCCTTGGCAATCTCTCATCTCCGGATCCGCTAATTTTCCAGGAGCCGAAGCTTTATTTGCAGACTTGGGCCATTTCACGGCGCAATCCATCCAAGTAAGTTTCAAGCTGCTTATTTGTAAACTGTGTTCACTAAGTCGCACCATGGCAGCTTGCGTTTACTATTATAGTGTTTCCGTGCTTAATAGCAGCTTACATGGGACAAGCTGCTTATCTTATGAAGTATCCACGGGATGTTGACGAACCATTTTACAACTCGATACCGAATAGACCGTTTATCTATTGGCCTATGTTCGTAGTTGCGACAGCAGCTGCAATAATAGCAAGCCAAGCAACGATCTCGGCTACGTTTTCCATCGTCAAGCAGGCCGTAGCGCTTGGATGCTTCCCAAGAGTAAAAATAGTTCACACGTCGCACAGGTTTCTGGGACAAGTGTACGTTCCCGAGGTAAACTGGACCCTGATGGTCGCCTGCTTGCTGATAACAGCGGGTTTCCGGGAGACACAGCAGATCGGAAATGCATACGGTAAGCTTTTAAATGTAATCTCTAGTTTAACAGTTTTTTTCTCACCATTGTGCCCTCGCAGGTGTGGCAGTCGTGCTCGTCATGGTCGTGACAACGTTTTTGTTGGCTATGGTTATGATTCTTATATGGCACAGCAACCTCTACTTGGCCTTCTCCTTCCTGGCGGTGTTTGGCTCGCTGGAGTTGCTCTACTTTTCATCGGTTTTGTTCAAGGTGACGAGCGGGGGATGGGTTCCTCTGGCGATAGGCTCGGTTCTCATGGCAGTCATGTACTTCTGGCACTACGGCTCTTGCGAGAGGCACAAGTTTGAGCTCCAGAACAAGGTGTCCCTTGGATGGATCCTCCAGCTCGGCCCAAGCCTCGGGATGGTGAGGCTGCCAGGAATCGGCCTGTTCTACACCGAGCTAGCTCACGGGGTTCCATCGATCTTCTCGCACTTCCTCACGCACTTTCCAGCGGTCCATTCCATCCTCACCTTCGTGTGCGTCAAGTATCTCCCGGTGAGCACCGTCGCCAAAGAAGAGAGGTTCCTTCTGAGGAGGATCGGTCCCAAGCAGTTTCGGATGTACCGCTGCGTGGTGAGGTACGGCTACAAGGATCTCCACAAGAAGGACGACCACTTCGACGAGCTTCTCATCCGCGCACTGGCCGCCTTCATTCGCTACGAGTCGCTCATGGAGAGCGTGGACGAGCAGTCGGAAGAGACCGTGACGAGCAACGGGTCCCTGGAAAGCTGCGGCGCGGCTCCTCCACTGCAAGCACAGGTGGACGGGCACACCATCACTGGCAGTGAGATTTGCTTGACAGCGTCAAGCGTCTCCTCGATCCAGCGGCAAACTCCAAGGAGCTTGAGAGAGGAGGAGGACGAGTGCGCGTTTCTAATCAAGTGCAAGGAAGATGGGATCGTTCACATAATGGGGAGCACTGTGATGCGAGCAAGGCAAGGGTCGGGCTTCTTCAAGCGGCATGCCATCAACTCGGGGTATAGTTTCCTGCGGAAGCTGTGCAGGGACACGAGTGTGATATACCATGTACCTCACGAGAGCCTCCTTCACGTAGGGATGGTTTATAACATTTGATATGTGGCTAAAGTCACCTTTCGTTTTTGTAGAAGTTACTTCTTTAACTTATCCTGTACATGGTTCTTTTCTTTTTATATTAACAAGAAAAGTTTTTTTATATAAATACCTTTCTTATTAAACGGTTGATTGTAGCTTTTAAAAGAAGAATATATGGATATAATTCTTGTTTTTCTGTCTTTAAAATTTGTTTATACATCTAGACTTGATTATAGATCACAAGATATAAATCTTATACATCCAAATACTACAAGTATAATTGTTTCAAGATTACTTATGATGGTACATAATGCAATTCCATCTCAAGATACCATACAAATAGGCCAATCTATTGACAATGATGTAATCCTAGAAGATGGGATTCAGGGCAATATAACCGTTACCATGCAAATATGGCTTTATAGTGTTGAAAGAAGGGAAAATTATGTATATTGTTCAACTAACCCTTCTGAGGAAGAAGAGAGAAATCTACCACATTGAGATAATCTAATAATGGAATATTATTAAGAGCTTTTAAGACTTGGATCTAGAATGATTTCTATAACATCAAGAATATATGTATTTATTATTTGA